TGTTGCCCATGAATTAAAATTAACCTGCTGTGTTGTCCAAAGGTGCTGTGACTGATACGGTGAGTGAGGGTCCATGTGGGTCCTCGTGGTTGCATGTGCAAGGGATGCCTGAACATCACCCAGATAGGATTCCTCCTGCATCCTTGTTCCTCCCCAGCAGCTCTGGGCTGTCCTTTCACTGAATTTCACTGAATTTTTAGAGTTGGAAGGGACCATAGAGATCATCTAGTCCAACTCCCCTGCTGAAGCAGGATTGCCTAGAGCTTGTCAGAGCATGTTACTCAGGAGCATCCAGGTGGGGCTTGAAAATCTCCAGAGAAGGGGACTCCACACCCTCCCTGGGCAGCCTCTGCCAGGGCTCTGCCACCCTCACTGTGGATTAGTTTTTTCTCGTATTTGAGTGGAACTTCCCATGTTCCAGCTTGTGCCCGTTGCCCCTCGTCCTCTCACTGGGAACCACTGAAAAGAGTCTGGCTCCCTCCTCCTTCAACCCTCCCTTGAGATACTTGTCAGCATTGATAAGGTTTCCCCTCAGCCTTCTCTTCTCCAGACTAAAGAGTCCCAGCTCTCTCAGTCTTTCTTCATAAGGGAGATGCTCCAATCCTTGAATCATCTTTGTAGCCTCCACTGGACTCTCTCCAGCAGTTCCTTGTCCCTCTTGAACTGGGGAGCCCAGAACTGGAGGCAGGATTCCAGTTGTGACCTCACCAGTGCAGAGCAGAGGGGGAGAATGACTTCCCTTGACCTGCTGGCCACACTCTTCCCTACACAGCCCAGGATTCCGTTGGCCTTCCTGGCCACAAGAGCACACTGCTTGCTCGTTGTCATTTTGCTGTCCACCAGGACCCCTAGATCTTTCTCTTCAGAAGTTGAGTGATCCTTGAGCGATCCTGCCCAGCCGGACCCACAGCATCTCTCCAGACACCTCTGTGTCAGCAAAAGCTCGAGGTTGAATGCGAAACCTTGGCTTCTCTTCCTCTTCCTCCTCCTCTTGGATGCTCTCAGTGGAGTGTGTCTGGGGAAGGTCCATTGGGTGGACTCCGTGGGAGAGAAGCGAGAGAAGCGTCAGCACGTTGTCTTTGGATCAGGAAAGGGTTGATCATTCACTCTTCAAGCTGAAGTTCTCTCAAAAGCTTGTAGCTGAATGTGACCCGCTGTCTATCAGCAGTGGTGTGAGCCAGCCTTTGGCAGGTGCACTCTTGATAAGGCAGAGAAGAGGGACAAGGCAGAACGACCAGTTTGGGGTTGTCCTTTAGGAGGTGTCCTAGGTGGTGACAGGCTGGTTATTTTAGAGTTGAAATGTGAAGAGCATTCATTTGGCACTTGTGGTATTTTTCCAGAGTCTGATTTCAATCAGCCAAATAACTGAAACCAACTCCTCCCAAAAATCCATCATAAAACCTAGTTTCTTACTCAATGTGTTTGCTTTCTGAGCTTGCTCCTTGGCCAGTTTTCCAACGGAAGATTGCCTTTTTTTCCCATGGGAGCAATTCCCTCAGCATAAGTGAACGCCCAGATGAGTTGAGGCTTGTGTACCAGCATCTGTCATCAGCCTGCACTGACTGCATGGGATGGGTTAGGGACGAAGGAACCCAGCAGAGACCCTGCAGCCACTTCTGACCACCATGTGATAATTCCCCGGCGTTGGATTACCCGAGACTGATGCTCCTGTGGTGGCACAAGGCTGTAGTGGGAGCAACTGCGTGGTCGTTAGGTGATGGGGCAAATCCAGTGACAACGCAGTGTCACAGCCCTTCTCCTGCTCCAGAACGGGGTCCTCATCTCCTGTGCTGCCCCAGCAAAGGAGTGTGCTTCAAATTGATGAGCCTCACGCCACATGCCCGAGTTTTGATGGACCTAATGTGAGCACGGAGATGCATAATGGTCCCTAGAAGGTGATAAACTAGTAGAAATCAGAATCCCCCTTAAACTGCTGTGATTTAAACCGAGAGTCAGTCTTTTCTTCTTCAAATCCTGGGAGTCGCTGAAGCAGAAAAAACCTGCACCAGTGACTGAAATCTCTCTACCTTTTCCTCAAATAGTCTCTTTTTCCCAATGAAGAGTTGCTTTTACTTCTCCTAGACCTTATAAACATCACGTATTTATGTGAGAATGAGTTGAATTCTCCTCTACCTCATGTCTCGCCAAGAAAGGAAGGTCCTAATTTCTGGTTCCAGTGCCAAATAGGATTTTAAGGGGCAGAAACAACAAAGCTGAATCATCAGATCACAGTTGGAGTTTCTGATCTCGGTTGGAGTTTTAGGGGCAGGCACTTGTAAGTCAGACAATTACTCTTCTAGAAGATTTTTTTACAGTTGCTTGATCGTTAAGGAAACACTGGAGAGAAGGAGAAAATGTGATACTTTCAGAGTGTCTAAAACTAATATAGTTCAACTGCTTCATTGACTTGATGCTGTCCCCTGAGGTCGTTAGGACTATTACAGACAAACTGCCTCCAGGAACTTTCTTTTAAGGAGGCAAAAAGGAAGAAACTGAGAAACAAAACTGTGTTTTCATCCACCAGGAACAAAACAACTTTCTTGAAGGTCTCAGTCAAGTCATTTCACCCTTCCCTTTAGAGAAAACCTCATTTTTTTCCAGGTGCTTTTCTGATCTGTGGGTTGGATGAAGGCAGCGCAGAGCTGCTGGTGGGAGGAGGTGATGTGGGAGAGACACAATGATGGGTCCAACCATGGAGAGAAGGGCTTTGCCCTCCCAGCCTTGGCTTTCCCATCCCCTGAGAGGCACGAAGGGCTGGTGTCTTTGATTCATTGGAATCGGAGACGTGTAGATGAGTCTTCGCTCCTGATTAGTGAGAAAAGCACTGGTTGCATTAGGTCAAACCATGTCCTCATTTATGGCTGAGAGCCCCGCGGGAGCCAACGTGGGTAGCCCAGCCTTGTAGGGTCAAGCTGGTCTTTTGTCACCTCCTGAGTGTGTATTGTGTTAATCTGGTGTTTACCGTCTGACTGTATTTTGTTCAGGAACCAGTCAAGATGGATTTGTTTAACCAAACCCACTCAGGCTTTCACTGCAGAGGGGCAACGTCTATAGGGTTTTGGAGTCGGCGTTGAGAGGGTTTATTGCCACAGCTTGTGTTTTCCTGCCTCGCTGCAAAAGAGCACCGGGAGCTGCAAATCCAGAGGGCACAGCACCGTATGGCTCCTTTCGCAGCCTCCAATTGGAGACATCTCATTGTCAGAGGATGGCAACGACGTTCCCTGCCTCTGTTCCTGATAAATTAGTGACGCCGAGACCGGGAATGCGGGAGCGTAAACGTGCTCTGTGCACGCTCCCTAACCTAAAATCTGTTGATGGTTTTGAGAAGCTGGATAAAATGGCTTAGTCGATTGAATTGAAATTGAAGGCAGATCTTTAGTGTGAGGTTTGCTCATTTCACTTCTTCCATTTATTTGGGATCTCCGTTCCATATTGGTCCGACAAAGGTCTTAACAATCAAAATGTGAATGGTGGGCTTATTTTTTTTCTGATAAAACTGCCATAAAATTCATCCCCCAACAGCAAATTTTTCTTATGAGGTTTGAGCAGCGCTGGCAACACATATTTTAGGGATAAGGATTTGGCCAAAGGGCAGAGTGATCATAACACACAAAGGCTGCATAGTTGTCTGTTAGACAAAACGTGTAAATGGTGCAAGCACACAATATTTCTGCTCTTACAGGGCTGACCAGAAGTGTGTATTTAGCCACATGGGTTATTAAATGCAGCGGAGTTAACGGCATCACCCTCCCTTCCAGAGGTCTCCCACTCCACGTTGTTTCTCAGTGACATTTAGTTCTCTCTTCCCATCACACCAAACACCCTCCAACGAGCGTGTGGGAAGGGACCTCCCCCAGCAGCACCCATGGAAGAGCCTGCCCAGGGAACTGGTGGAGTCACCACCCCTGGAGGTATTGAAAAGCCAGGCAGATGTGGTGCTGAGGGACATGGGTTAGTGGTGGGTTTGTCAGTGTTGGGCTGATGGTTGGACTTGATCTGAAAGGTCCTTCCAGTCCATAATGTCCATCCATAATGATTCTATGGTTCTATGTTTTTCTGGTGCAAGGGAACCCAACTAAAGCTTCCTTAGGGGTACATCACGATGCTGCCTCTGAGGTGTGGGTTTGGTAGCCAGACAAAAAACCCTTGTTCATCCTGTTTGGATATTTATTGTTATTAAATTCTGTTATTAACAGAATTTTACATGGCTTCAGCCACTTCCTTACAGATTTTAACAGGAATTTCCAGCCTTCCCTGAGCTCTTAGCTGGTGTGCGCTAGAAATCAACAGAAATAATTTGCATCTTTATTGTTTGCTGCTTTCAGCCAAAACTAAAATATCTGCAGTTAATTCCAGTCGTACTTAGAAGATAATAGGTTTTAATTTTGAGTCTGTTGCCCAGAATTGCTTTGGTGCTGCCCCTGCTTAGCACAGTGCATAAGCTAAATGGGAATGTAGAAAATTCAGCCTTCTTTTCAGAAAAGCCAAAAAATACTTTATTGCTGTTGACGTAGTTTCAGAATGATAGAGTGTACTCTTCTCCTCATAAACACTTCCTAATTTTGTGTCTAACCCTGTTGCATTTCAGCCAAAGGATCCACTTGGATAATTGCAATCAGTTAAAAATCTGACAAGCTACAACTGTTCTCATTTACTCTAAACCCTGAGCGCTTTTTCCAGAGGTCAAAATTTGCTACAATTAAAATGAGAGATGTGCTGAAAGCACCAGTTCTCTGTGAAGGCTCTTGCCCTGCCCGGGCTGAATTTATTTGGTGGACACGGGGGGGGGACAAGAGTGAGAATCACTGATTGCAAATCTGCGGCTTAACTTTTTAGAAAGGCTTGTCTTGGGATGGGGGACAAAAGGGAATGTTTGGGCTGGGCGAGTGAAAAATAACAAAAATGCAATCTTCATTTTTGGGAGTTGGCAAAAGGAGAGGGGGAATCCTTGAAGAGGGCCTCCTTTGCTCAGTGTGTGTGTGTCTCTGCTCTCCCCGCAGCCCCCTCCTCGCCGTCTGCTTCGCCGCCTCCTGCGGCGTCCCGGGAATCGCCCTGCTGACCCTGGGGGTGAACCCTCTCACCGGGGCCCTGGGAGCCTTCAACATCTTCCTCTACACGTGCTGTTACACCCCCATGAAGAGGATGAGCATTGCCAACACCTGGGTGGGGGCTGTCGTCGGAGCCATTCCCCCCGTCATGGGCTGGACGGCGGCTACTGGCACTCTGGATGCTGGTGAGTATGAAACTCTTGTGTCTGGGTGAGGGGATGCCAGAATTGCCTTCAGGATAACAAAAAAGACTACTCAAAAGGCAGCAAACCTCATTCTTTATGCTTTTTTGACCTGATAGTGTTTCAAAAGCAGATCTATTCTGCTGTTGGCAGTGCCAAAGCTTGTTACAGTGGGGCACCGTAAGGACTAAGAAGCACATGGTTGTGTCATCCTTACAGGGGCATTTCAGAGGCAAACACGAGCTGATAAAAGGCCATGTCCTATGGAATATATGTTTAGGCCATCTTTAAAAAAAAGTCTAGAAGGAGAAGAGCCTTTTTGTGCTTCACATGGAAGAAAATATTATGTAATTTCAGGGATTCAAACCCTACCCAATAAGATCTGACTTACAAGTCAGGAGCTTTCAGCTGGAAAATTCCCAGATGTGTTTATTACTGTCTTTCCACAAGCCAGAAAATGTCCTGGGAAAATTAATTTATTGGTGTATTTCTTAATTGCCCACTTCCAAACTCGAAGTTATAAATGTTCCTTCCCCCTCTCCTTGAAAAGCAAACGAAGATTTCTATTTTAGTAACTGTGAACCATTTTTACATCCCTCATAAAACACTGATCTCTTCAGCAGCTAAACTCTGACACAATTAGGGCTTGTTTTTCCTGCCAGTTAGAAACTTAAGAATCAAAGTGGCTCCACATAGTTATATTCTGAAGAAACTCATGGAGTGCAATTAACAGGTCTGTGAAGAATGTTTTCAGCACAGACTCATCCCACAGCGTGGCATATTTAAGGCTGGAATAGTACTTTCAACAACAAGGCTTTTAAGCAGAAATTATCAGAATCTGTGCAAAATCCACGCCATCCTGCATTTGTGCTGTGCATTTCCTATAAAAGTCAGTCTGAGTTGGCTTTGTGTGCGTGTTCTGATACAGATCTAACCCAGAGCTAGGATCAAGGGCTTTGTGCTGTTTTGTTTAATCCCGTGTAGTACTTCTGGACAAATATTTACATCTCTGAAAGGCTTTTTTTATATTTAGACCTATAAATGATCTGTGTGTGGATATGTAGTGTCTCGTGTTAAGGAGTGCACAACAGACATCGTTAGAAGCTTCTCTAAAGAGAAGAGAATGAATTAAAAATACGTATTTGTAAGGACTCTATCATTCTGTCTGCAGTTGCCTAGATCATGGATCTGATGTTGTTTAGGGATTTCTCTGTTGGTTTTGGCATCTGTGTTGGGTTTTGGCATTTGGCAACAGGTTGCCCAGAGAAGCTGTGGCTGTCCCATCCCTGGAGGGGTTCAAGGCCAGGCTGGATGGGGCTTTGAGCAACCTGGTGTGGTGGGAGGTGTCCCTGCCCATGGCAGGGGGGATGGAACTTGATGATCTTTAAGGTCCCTTCCAACCTGAACCATCTCTGCACAGAGTTGATGCCAGAAGATGGCTCTCATGTGCCCGTGCTTCACCTGCAAAGCCCAGCCTGGAGGAACTGGCATGAAGAGCCCTATCTCACCAAAAGCCCTTGTTGTAAAGACTGTCATGGTTCAAACTTTCACCCCTGGTTTTAAAATGGCAGCTAAACAGCTGCAGCTAAAGCCCAGCATGTGAAAGTAAACTGGAGATGATTTTCATTATCTTTATTTCATCAATTACAACTTGCTCTTCAAGACTTATTTCGCCAAGAGCCAAGCTGTCCCCATACAGCAGGCAGGGCAGGCAGCAGAGAGCACCCTCTTGGTCCCAAATAAGCTCTTCCTCTCTTAATTTGTGTCTGAGATGTGGCTGCGTGTCCCTCTGCCAGCTCTGCTGGGGAGGGGATACTTTCTGGTGGTGGTGCCACCAGTGGAAGATGATAACTTAAATCCAGACTTGGCCAGCATGGGATGACCTGCGCCGGTGCGTAACCTGATGTTGTATTGTTTGTTCTGGGTGGCTAAAACTTTCCACAGTCACCTGCTGGTGTGTATCTGTGAGGCCGGGCAGGTGGTTTAACAGTGAAAGAAATGTTATTGGGCTGATACTGGTCTTTGTAACACAGCACACCTGGGGAGAGTTGTGAAAATAGTAGTATTTTAGTGCATTTCAGTATTAAAAAGCCCAAAAAAACCCACCCCAAAACAACTTTAAAAAGAAAAGTGAGAAATATAAGAAAAGAATTGCATTGTAGACTATAATTTTGAGTGTTAAACATTCTATTATTGCAAAGGAGAAGGGAGTTCCTCACCTGGCAGCATCAGACCCCTGGTAGGACAAGCGTGTTCCGCCTGCGTACGTACATGCAGACCTGCACCCCTTCGCTAGCCAGCCTACCCACAGTTGTTGAACTCATTAATAATGTGTAATTAGCTTGGAGACTTAACCTAGTTTTAGGTAGAGGTGTGAAAATGCATTTACACCTCATTTAAAAAAAAAAAAAAAAAAGATCATTCCACTCCATAACAAAGAGGAATGTGAAGGAAGGGAGTAAGAAAGCTAATGAGAAGGAAGGTTCTCACCACTTAACTGCTGGGCTTTTGAGTTTTACATTTTCCTGTGGATTTTCTCTCCTTGTAATCTTCTCACAGCAGCCACATTGTTGTACGTGCTGCTGGTTGTAGGGGAAACAATGCTTGAGTGTTGTTTCATTGGCGTTTGAGGGGGGTAACCCAGCATTACACGGCAGGGGGTGGTACCCCCTGGCACCCCGTGTCTGCCTCCCCTGTAACGCCCCGGGTGCAACAGCATCACTGACCCGGCTCAGAACCACCACTGGTGGCCGTTGACCAATGGCCAGTTGGTCATTGGTCAAGGACCAATGCTCTTGGTCATTCCAGAGGGTTGGAGATGATTCCTAGGTTCCAATACCCGAGATAATAACAAAGTATCTCAGATTGGAGCAGCCTTGGTTTAATTTATCATCGTTTTATCTATAACTTTCTTATTTCAGAGGTTAATACCTTGTTTCTTGCACAAGGAACAAATATCACGTGTTTGTAGATAAAAATCTGGGACCCCTATATTGCCAGCGATGGAAACACTGGTGTTTCTGACACTACACACCTTTTGCAGATCTTGCGGTGATTCCCGGTGATGCTTCTCCCATTTCTGCCCCTGTTGAGTAACTTTAATTATATGCTCTTAATTGAACATCCTGCCCCCAACCCTGGGTTTTGTGCCAACGTAATTTAGGGAAAACCTCACATTTCAAAAGAGAAAGATAAGGTTATCTCTGGGAAGATGTGGAATTCTTTGTTGTGGGTTTGGGGGGGGGGTTTGTGTTTTCTTTTTTAATGGCAGCTGTTTGAAACTGATGAAAGATGGGGAATGTTAACATTTCCTCACTGGGGGAGCCGAGTGCAGGTGAGATGGTCAAAGGTGCGTGATAAATGTAATTTATCACGTGGCTATCACCGCCACGGATCTGGGGTATTTATGCAGAACTTCACTGCCAGCCTGTGATTTGCAGTAACACGTTTGCTTCCTTGAAAGCAGATTTCATTGCTCCTTTGTGGTACTGTTTATTTCCAAAGAGATTTGTTTTTTCTGGTAAACCTAGGCGCCCTCAAATTATTTATTCTGATTTTACAAAGGAAGGGCCAGCAGGAAAATAACGACATTCACTTCAAGCCTTAAATAGCAGAAAGGCAGGAGAAGGAGGCAGAGCTGGGCAGTGTCCTGGTGTGTGTGGGATCCTTCTCCTACACGGGGTCCCTGTGTGGGGACCCTCAGGCTGTGCCGAGCCCGGGTCCAGGCATCTTTAGGAAGTACCAGAGCTATTTATTTTGGTGTGCGAGAGGCACAACCTTATCCGTGCTTTAAATTACTCCTGTGTTGCTGGTCTTTCTCCCCAGCCTGAAGCCACAGCTTGCTCGTTAGGTGTGTTTGTCGTCCATTTAAACTTGTTATTTCTCCTTAACAGAGAAACTGAAGTGGGGTGAACATCTCCCAGTGCCCTAACCCCTCTTTTGCCTTATATATTTTGCCTTTCGGCGCTGAAGGCTCGAGGGAGCCGGCGAGCGGGATCGGTGTCTTAGAGAGGAGCAATTCAGCGCCTCAGCGTTGGGATAAACCACCCAGTGAGATGGAAGTGACAAGCAGGGGTCCTCAACATAATGTGCTTATCAGTTAAGGGGATTTATTCCGAGTAGGTGGCGGTGGCGGAGCCGATAAGAGCCCTGCCAGCAGAGCAGACAGCACGGACCCGCGGGGGCCTGGAGCCATAGGTATTACTGCACCAAAGAATGTTTATCTCAAGAGACTATTTAGTTTATCTCAGATGCACCACTTCTGGTCTCAGCTTTCCTGAAAGACATCTTGTACTGATTTTCATTCATTTTCCGAAATTTAAATAATTCCCGGGGCTATGGAATTTATAGACTGAGTATCAATTGTAATCATGTGGAGGCTGATTTTTTAAATTGCCTTGACTTTGTAATTCAAATTGTGTTGTATGGTAGACATTAATTATGTCAGCCAACATCTATTTACAAATGGGGATTTAAAAACGGGGTGGTTCTTATCAGCTGGTGACATTTGGGCAGATGGATGGTTTCAGTAACAACAACAACAAAAAAAAAGAGAATAGGGGGGTGGGGGGGAGCTGCCCCCAACCTGTCCTGGTTGTGGGGGAAACAATGCTTGAGTGTTGTTTCATTGGCGTTTGAGGGGGGTAACCCAGCGTTACACGGCAGGGGGTGGTACCCCCTGGTACCCCGTGTCTGCCTCCCCTGTAATGCCCCGGGTGCAACAGCATCACTGACCCAGCTCAGAACCACCACTGGTGGCCGTTGACCAATGGCCAGTTGGTCATTGGTCAAGGACCAATGCTCTTGGTCATTCCAGAGGGTTGGAGATGATTCCTAGGTTCCAATACCCGAGATAATAACAAAGTATCTCAGATTGGAGCAGCCTTGGTTTAATTTATCCTCGTTTTATCTATAACTTTCTTATTTCAGAGGTTAATACCTTGTTTCTCGAACAAGGAACAAATATCACGTGTTTGTAGATAAAAATCTGGGACCCCTATATT